GTCTCTCGATTGCTCAGAAGTGGGAAAAGAAATTTGAAAGCTTATGCCATGATTCAACCCTATGTTTCATTGATAAAGATAAGATCAAAGTCACTCAACGTAGTACAACTTTACACAATCTTTAAAGGGCTAAAAATTACATTAATTTATCAAAGAGAAAAGTATTTCTGAAACCACAAAATGCGCATATTATACAGAAAGGTAAAATTTATTCAACCAGTCTCTCGATTGCTCGGAAGTGGGAAAAGAAGTTTGAAAGCTTATGCCATGATTCAACCCAATGTTACATTGCCTGATATCAACATTGATTTGCAAACAATTAGGGGATATATGAGCTACACAATCATTAAGACCTTTTTGTATATCAATATGTTTGTCTCAAACAAGTTACCTGTATGAAAGTATTTACAAAAAGATTACTGTATTATTGTCAATTATTTTAATTTGTGTACAAAAATCTAGAATTATTATCATTATTATTATATTTATTACGATTAATTATTATCATCATATCATTAATATTAACTACTTTCTAGTTCACCAAAAATTGTGTCAAAGTCTGGGGTGTATCCTACAAATTGACATTTTTCTTGTACTGAACTCCAGAGTTGGTTCACCTTTCTCAAAGAGGTTTCTGCAAATGTCCTCTGGAGCAGGACAACACCAGCACAAAGATGCATTAATTCCAGATCTATGTTTTCATAACTAGCTGCATCAATGAATCCATTTTCCAGAGTAAGTTTATGATACTTTTTGCAGCTTAGAAACTTCTCAAGCCTTGCTATTACCATGGACTGATAGAGGGCGCTATCTAGCTTAGATTTCACATGTGTGTGTAGATCAGCATGGTTTGTAAAACTTTTCAGCAAGATCTTTAATAACGCGACTTCTTCATGGTTTGTGTTGGCTTCTCCTCTGTCAAAAAGTTTATCATCTTCAACCTGTTAACAAAAAAATTGTTGAAATACTATTTAAAAAAAAACCTACTAAAATGAACAAAATGATTGGAGATATGTCAAGTCAGTGCCTGTCCTCTATGACTTATGGAAGCCATGTCTTAACAAAAATCTGATACTGTATCTTTCATGCTTTTAATAATATCTGATCAAACAAATTATAATGATAGTTTTGTCTTCAGATAAGTAATTAATAAAGCTCTATCCAGACTACCAAATTTTATTTGACAAGAAACTGTTGTATGCCCATATATGGTAATGATGTGCCTATATATGGTGATATACTGTGACGCCATCAACCATATTTAGGCATGTCACATGTTATTGTCAAATCAAATTCGATAGTTTCTCCAGAGCCTTCGTTTCTAGTCTCCTACGGCTATTGGATGTTGGGCAAGCTCTAGTTGATAAGGTATGTCTGATAAACATTACCCAGAAGGCAAACGTTTGACAGTTCTTCAGACATATTTGATCAAACAAATCATACATCTGTCCATTACTTTGAAGTCCAGTAAGGTTCTGCTTCTTATCTGATTAAACACTAACAAACTGATAGATTATGTTTGGCTTAAGAGTTTATATTAATACAAGGACAATAAAAACCTCTTCAAGAATGAAGTCTTCTGGTTCTCCCATCACATAGCTGAAGATCATCTTGTACAAGGAACATGTATTCTTTGAGTGATGTATGTCAATCATCATATCGACAGCTAGCTGGAGGCCCAAGCGTGCATGCACGTCCCAATAAAACTGACCTACAGCATAATGCAAAATCCGATCATTGAATTAAATTTGTTTGTTTTAAGGAATTTGGCACAGATGAAGTGAGCATAAAATGTGGATTCGTGAAAGTGATAAAGTGTTGAGGATGCATATGTCTTTGCTAATGTGATCATGGGGTGTCTAAAACAGGTGGTTCTATTATTTTGAAGGTGTTTTTTAGTTAAAGAAGCAATGGAAATTATGAGGTTATCCAGGTAAATATTAATAAAAAAAATTGATTGCACAAGATTCTGACAATTTATTTCTACAATTTAAAGAAGCTGATTGAATATATGCGACACTTCATGAGTCTACCGTGTGCCTGTTTAATTCATGTGTAAAGCGAAGCAATCCAGATGAAGTGCCTGGCCAGCCACAGCCTCAAAATAATTTTTTAATCCAGAACACCAGATCAATTCCATGACAGCAACGGAATATTCAATTATGAAAGAACGCTGATGACTTACTATCGGAAAGTATAGAAGGCGTGTGTTCTGCAAGAGTACGGACACAATTTGTCATTGATGACCTAATATCAGAGTCACTATCCTGCAGTAATCGCAACACAACACTCCAAGCGGTCACTGACACTTCACCTGTGAAAGTGAATAAAATACACAAAAAACCATTTCAAACATTAAAATGATTAAAAAATGAATGATTCACTAATTTCTTCCCTGCTCAGTAAAACCAGCGTGGTTAAACCTCCTTGTTATTTATCAGCTAAAATAACTGCACAGTTAGCATAACCATGGGAAATGTTTCCCAGGCAGTCCACACTGTATAAAATTTACTATAGCGAGATGCTATTAGGTCTAATACAAAAAAGTTTTTTCATGGTTTACTGGTCAGGGTGTCCAGTTCCAGCGTCCTAGGTTCAATCACTGAAAATATCAGGATTGTTAGTCTGACCAAGTTAAGTACTGTACAGGTAAGTATGAGAATATTTTACCCAGATGATTTTTATGATCAATGAGGACATAGAGGGCAGTTTTGTTGAGTGTCTGCACTATACTGAGTCTCAACTGAGTTGTATGTTCTGCATAACTGTTCTTGTCCATCAGCTCAATAACATATTTGATAAAATCTCTTCCAGGTTGAGCTTCCACATCCTGTGGAGTAAAACAAAATGTAATATCCTTTAACTATAACATGTGGATTGCATGAATAAATTACACAGGAGCCACCAAAAAATTAATGTATAAATTGCTAATGCAAGTATATTACCTCTGTCATTGATTCATATACAAATGGAATCAAAACACTTGAGAGAGCAAGGACGCCACCAACCAGATCATCTCTAAATGAAAGAAACAGATTTGTAGAAATGTGTCATTTCTACTAGATTAAGTAGCATTGTTATCAGAAATAGTAGCACTGCTACCAGACTTAGTAGCAATGTCACAAGACTTAGTAGCATTACTATCAAACTTTTAGTAGCACTGTTACCCGACCAAGTAGCATTACTACCAGTCTTAGCTGCACTATTACCAGATTTATAGCAATGCAACAACACTTAGTACTATCGCTGTTACCAGACTTACCTTACACTGTCCCCACCAATTAAGCTCAGAATGAAATCCCCGGCTTGCGTGCATGTTAGCTGACGACCATCACCAAGACTCCATGGGAAACAATGTGCCACCGGATGACGACTAAGCACTTCTAGTAACTGAAACATATGAGCAATAAAGTGAGACCACAGTGATGACTACATTAATAATGATAATAATTTTTAAGAAAGTTTATGTCTGCATCTGCTATTTCCACCTTCTTGCTGAGTTTTTTAAAGAGTCTAAAGTCTTGCTTTTGTCGGTATATTAGTCATGTATTATATAGCCAAACTTTCGAACAGAAAGTAAAATAAAGATGAATTTAAGAGCAACAAAAATACATTTACACTAATAGGATCAGAAATGTTTGTATTCATTACAACATCTTAAGTGTAAAAAAAAAAGAATACAGATATCCTGAGGTTCATATACCTTTGCTTAATAGCCTACTGTATGCATGTTAAAGTTAATTCTAAATAGATATTGAAATGCATAGTATTTTCTTAACTGTGTGCACATTACCCGCAACTTCCCCCCACCTCCACCCATCACAAGGATTTCCTTAAGGACACAAGCACAGTCACCAGCAAATGACTCAAACCCACAAGCCTGAGATTAAAAGGCAAAACATCACATGACAATACATTGCACAGGTACACACATTAAGCTTTTCAGAATTATTTGCTGCACACTGTCACTTGAAAAGAATTAAACCCAGGACCCTGGAAGTGGATGGCAAAAATCATACCTGTAGCTCCAATAACCTGCAGTAGCAATATAAAAGTGATTACCTTGACTTTACAATCATGATGTGTTTCTGAAGCTAACATAAAGCCTAGCTGCTTGAATATGTCCTTACTCTTGCAGACATTCTGGAAGCATGTCCTTTCATGTCCCCAGTGTGAATCATGCTTTAATTCTACAAGGATATGTTCCAACACAAGGACTCTGACTTCGTAGAGATTAGAGGACAAATGTTGAATCACTGTTCCTGCACAAGAGCTGCCATTCAAGGTGCAACAGATAGTTTTACTGTCTGACAACAGTTTATCGCTTTCAGGTGGATCTACTTGAATATCCTTTTCATATAAATGTTTTCTAAATTCTGTGGTAAAATTTGATTTACAGCTATAAACGTGGGTGTTTGTGATTGCTTGCATTAATGCCACATGATCCAATGATACCACATCAGGAGGAGGAGAGCCATCATGAGAAGCTGCTCTGACAACATCCTCCTGCAATTCTTTAAGGTCAGCCTGATGAACTAGTCCAGGGAAGTGTGTTTGCAGCCACGATGAATCCATCACAAATGTGTTGAGGATGTTTAAGAACTCTGCTCGTGTAACAGCGCATTGATTTGAACTAGAGAGAGAAATCAAAACAATTGTTTATAAATACTCTGGGGTGGATACACGATTTGGCGGAAGGGTGTTTGTGAGAGTCCACAGAACCTAAGGTTGGGGCTGAGGATATGTACCTCAGGGTGCCTGGAAATTGCACATACTTTAACAATCTTAACAGTAATGTTCATATGAGAAATATAATATTTTAACAATACAATACAACAATTATTTTTTTCAAAACAATTTAGGGGAGCGATCACACCGTCGGCACCCCCTATGTTTCCGCCCCAGATACTGGGTAACTTTTTCAGTATTAATAGTCTGCTCTCCCACATTATGAGGCTTAATAGGGGTTCTTACTGCACTAGACGGTAGTCAGTCGATGCGATTCTGTAGAGAAAGCATGCGCATGCAACAAATCATTTTTAATTACAATCTGTTCAGACTTCCAATGACAATCAGAAAACAGCGTCGCATCATCACAGGGTGCAGAGTTGGAGTAGTCGTATGGCCTTCGTACCACGCAGTGAATGTTTTGCTTTAGGGAGTGGAGCTGTGTTTATTTGCGAGAAAAATCCTTGTAAATTATAGGAGTTGAACACAGGACCATAGGTTTGGAAGGTAGTTCTCTGTGTTTATTTAGAATTTTTAAAATATAATTTTTTTCTATATTCTGGAACTTATCGACAATGATCTATTTTATTTATTTATTTAGCATATATTTCTTTTGTAACAAAAAACATGTCCATATCAAAAATATAAAGTATCTTTAAAATTGAGAGAAAAGTATTTATTTGCCAAAAATACAAGAACAATGTATTACGCTTTGTCCAGACTATCAAATTATATTTGAAAAAAAACCGAAAAAAAACCCATACGACATGCCTAAATATGGTCATGATGACATCACATCATGACCATATATTTGTACATCATGACTATATATGGGCACATCATGACCATATATAGGCACATCATGACTATATATGGGCATACAACAGTTTTTTGTCAAAGAAAATTTGATAGTGTGGACAGAGCTTCAGGTGTGAGATTTACCTGGTGGCTAACCACATGCAGTTCTTGAATGATGCAACAGCCTGTTGAAGCAGACTGTGTTGCCGGGCAACAAACGACTGCTGACTTCCCTTCAGATGGTTCTGTAGGAGCATATGTACCTGAAAAAAAAAAAAAACCAGAAGAAACAGTTATTGAAAAAACTAAAATATATTAAAGATCGATATCAATAATTTCATTGTAATTAGACAGCTACTAAATTATGTTATATGTTTTTTCAAAAACCTATATTTCCTCTTATTATAATGAACAAAATTAAAGTTCATCCTACAATTAAAGACCATGTTTAGGACCTTCAAATTATGGGTATTCTTGGTCTCCAGTTAAATGGTTATCTTTATGATAAAGGATCGATGATTGTTATTTGGATGTTAGAAAAAGTGGTCTCGAATTAGAGGGGTCTCGAAACTAGAGGGGGATCTTGAATTGGAGGTGCACTGTATAATATTGTCTTCTTTATTAAGTATTAGATTTTATTATTTTTAAACATTTTAAACAAGCATTGATGAGCACACAATAGACGTAGATGTGTTTTAGGGTAATCTGTTAAATTAAGCTGATCATTAACCACTCTGCCACATCTCCACTTCTAACACCTATGATATATAAAAATGAATAATATTAATGCTATAAATAAAGTATATGAAAAAAACTTTCACACCTGCAAAAGTACTCCATGGATCTCATTTTGGTGATGCTTCTGTGTCTGCCATTTTGGTAGGGAGTTGATGAGAAACTCCACCATCTTCAAGACCTCACCAGATGGAATCAAAGAAGCTAGAGATCTTGCTGCTATCGTTCGTGTCTTGTAAATAGCACTTGAACCACATCTTCAATGAAAAAGTTGTATGCATTTTAACGGTACGGCACTAGCCTGAATAGTGAGAGATTGCAGGTTTTGAATCCTGACTCTGACAATTGTTTTCTTTACATCATTGAAGAGCTATGGTTAATAAGAATATAAGCAAATAGTACAGCTCCGCATAGTAAACTATAGGAAAATTATTATACGAAGGTTAAATTTAATGCTCGAAAAAATTTCCTGAGGGCCTGCAAGTGCGTGCGTACATTTAGCTATGCGTATGCCGATTTGTGTTCCTGCAGTATGCGTATACATTAGCAGTACAGTACGGATACAATGAATAAACCTTGTAATTTTTATTGTGTTAGAAGAACTTGTTTGTAATGCTATTTTGATACATTCGTCAAAGAAATAAACATTTCTTAAAGCATACAGTCACTGACATTTTGGTCAGTGCAGGCAGGTAAAAATCGTGCAACGATTTCCTAACTACGCTACATTTGGAGTAACTACATACACATTTAGAGTTGCAGGGATGATGTCATGATTGACTTATAAAACATCATATGTTCCCACATTCCAGAACAGTTATTATTTATAATTTGTACATGCATGTTATATTCATGATCAATGTATAGAAGTTGTCTTCCAACTCCAGACAGATATACATACTAACACACACGCTCACACACCCCCTTATACACAGAAGAGACGTATACACTCAAAAATAAACTTCCTTTTAAGAATAGCATTACTAACCTCTGGACCATAGAAATGAAGGGTGCAAGACTTAAACTAGAGTCTGCTCCATCAGTAGGTGATGGGTACAATCTTGATAGGAGGAGCAAGATGGGAAACACGCTTGGCTGAAGGTATCCTGCGTCCATGCCGGTTTGGGATCCAATGCAAGCAGTTAACTCTTCCAGTAGGAATCCATGGAGACTCGGAAAGCGAGTAAAGAACTCTCGTCCTGTCATGCTGCCACGTAAAGGAAAATAAGAACATATTAGATAAGCCCTATCAAATTAGATAAATTAAAACTACAAAGCTCGAAATTTTTGAATGTATGCGTAAGGGTATTATCAAGGAGTGTAGAACTGCATGTCAAGGACACGCCCCTTCGTGGCTGTACTTTTTGAAAAAGGATTACGTCTAAACAAAACAACGAGAGTTGGACCGCTTGCAGTTGCAATTGCTGGTATTATGCATGAGTGTATATGAGGATTACATGTCCGTTTTTTACTGTTGTATTTAAAAAATCTATTCTCACATTTTAACAGAGCTTATTTGATGGCCTTAATTTGATATACTTATATACAAGTCTCTCTCCAATATAAGGCAACATTTGGCACCAGGGTTTTCATGGTCTTTTTGCAGTTTTGGACACACAAAAAAATCATTATTATAAAGATAAAAGATAAGTGATCATACAGGGCTGCAGAAAATGGTTTTAATTTCAGGTGACCCTAATTGGAGTGGTATTTAATTAAAGGGAGATCTAAACTTTTCATACCAATTTTTGCGAGCTAATTCTTCTGTCTCTCTACGCACACCAAAAATGCGATTCACAAGTGCTGTAAACAACAAGGTGCTGGAATTACGAACCTGGAATTAAAAAAAAGGCAGTGTTGTTACAAATATAGCTACATAACCAAAGATAATAAATTTACAACTGTAAAAAAATATTACATACTATTAATATATTATTCTAAAACGCCAATCCTCAGCAGCTGCAGTAGACTCGATCAATGGAAAAATGAAGATGTCAAAAAGACAACAATGGTTAAAGTGTCTGTGAAAAACTGTGTAAAATCAAGCGGGATTGGACAGGCCATGTAGCTCAAATGGACCATAACAGATGGACTAAAAAGACAACAGTATGGACGCCTACAGAAACAAAAAAAAAAAAAAAAAAAAGAGAGGAAGGCCAAACAAGAGATGGATATTTTCCTAACAGAGCTTGAAGTGAACTGGGCAAATCTGGCAAAGGATAGACGAGAATGGAGTTTGAGGCAATGGCCAAATAAAGATGATGAGAACGCCAATATCCATGGCAAATACAATGTTCAGTGGAAATGATATTAGCATTAATTAAAGTGCTCATATACTCACTATCCATAATCGTGATTTGAAACCCAATATTGCAGCTCTCATTCCATCTGCAATGAACGAATACACATCCTCCCCAAGCCTTGTGTCTCTAAACAATGCACACATAATGTTCAATGCATGTACCTACAAATAAGAGTACATTTAAATGTAAAATAAATAAGTTTGCAATATACTTAAATCACCTACATATTTGGCATAATTTAAAATGACTAAAAAAAGTTGATTTGAAAAAAAATTTTAAAAATGAAATTATTAATTAAAAAAGTTTCATTCAGTGCTACTGTAGAACAATACCATGCACACTCAAAAAGAAATAGAAGTCATGTTTATGCTTTATTTTTTTTTCATGTTTTTAAAAATCTAACATCCATCATCAAGAGTTGGTAAAATTGGAACAGATAGTAGGACTAATGGGTGTGAAACTCTGGATTATGACTTTTCAGCATTTTGTCCTGGGTACACATAAAGCTTTAGCAAGTCAGACATGAATTAGATACCTTTCCTTTATACTATAATGGAAGGGGATGGGTAGGGGGGATCAGGGCATTGTAGACATAACATTATTACTATACATACTTGTGGGGTAATTTCTTTACCATTCTGCTCTGCTGGGAATACTAGTGGTAGCAGTATGGCCATAGCTTCCTGTAGACTTTGCCTTCGTAATGAGCTGGGTTCAGACGTGACCAGGGCCTACCAATAAAAGAACACATTTTTAATTAAATTATTAAATTTGTAAGAGAACTTTAATTAATGGAGAAGTTTTATATAATTTGATTAACAATATAATTGTAATTTCAAAATAATTTTAAAACTAAATAATTACGAATTCACTAAGACACAAAAAGGGTATTTGAAGAAAAACTTGGGAACGGTTAATGAGATAAAGATTATTGAATATTTTAAAAATGGGGGGGGAAAGTGGAAAAAAGGGTGGTTAGGTCAAAGTGATCATTTGTATGTGTGTAAAATATACTATTGTTTCCTATTAAAATCTATATTCATTTTTTGTTATATACCTGGATAGTGAATGGCACACCAGCACTGCGTCTTGTGGCACAAAGTAAGTCTCCGCCAGCACAGATGTCATTCAGCAAATCTTTCAACCATTTCTTCGGTAAAGACTGTAATGGAGCAACAGTACTCCTTTTGAAAAAAAATTTCAAAATAACAATACGAAACATCAAAAATAAAAACAAAGATGACTATTATTATTTTATTATTATTACTAATTAAAGGTATATAGAAGTCATAATTTGTTTTGAAGAAACATGTATTGCCACCTTAAAAAATCAAATCTATGCCCCTTAAATTACACATCAAGTTATTTCAAAATGCTGTTTACATTGCAGGGATTAAAAAATATATTTAAAAGCTGAAAGGTTTTTTGTAGATGTTTTTTAGTACCTGTAAGTGTTGTTGGTGATTTTAATATCTTTGTCAACACTTACCTCCACAGAACAACACAAAGTTGGTTAAATCCAACTGACGCAAGTTCAAATGCTCCTCTGTGTTTTGACTCCAACAAAAGCTTAATGAAAAACTCCCCCATTTCATTCACCTGTTAATAAAAGAGGTTCAAATCTAAGAACTTATTTCACACATGCATAAATTATTGAAATGCAAGCCAACAAAAAAATATCACAACAGTTAACAGTTAGTGAGTATGTTTGAATTCAAATGAGACCAAGAGCTGTACATCAGTCAGTCACAAGATGCATGGATGGATAAAATATTTAAATGTGAGCCACTATAAATATTAGTGAAGTGAAATGTAATAATATTATTCTTATATCGATCTTGAAACTATCCTTTCTTGAACAAAAAACACTTATTTAATCGCCATACTTGTTGTTGACTCAAAAGTGTCTGGCCTTTTTCGTGCTGTTGCGATATCTTGCCTAACGTCAGCGACACCTCTTTCATGCTACGCCAACAACAGACCAATAGTGCTTGCGGAGTCACATTTAACACCTTTGACCCATAGGTCGGTTCAACTGCTGCAACATCATCAATCTGTGGAACATCTGAAGAGAAGCCAAGGCAATCTTGAAATGAATATTTGTACAGTATTAAACTTTTTTTAGTCAATAAAAAAAAGGCTGGTAGAAATTTATGGTGTTCCTGATATAACTAAGCATTAAAAAATATATATATGATTAACTACTAAAAAGACATTGCCAAATTATGTAAAAAGTTAAGCTATATTCAACTTCTATCATTATATTGTATACTATTTCATCATCTGTTATGTATCTTTTTATATGTACTTACTTACAAAATATAAAATGAATGATTTAATTATTGTTCTTACTTTTTGCATCTGTAACCATGAGTAGCATATCTAGGCGTCTTAAAATGGGGGTGGGGGGAGCAGAGGAGAAGCTCGATGAGTAAGAGAATTTATTATTTATTTATTTATCTTATTTATTTTTTTCTTGTAACTGACTGTGATGCTAAGCGAAGAATCATTCACATCTTGATTATAACTATCAGATGCTACTTTCAGGAATTCTATTTTGCATACATGTGGAAGCTAAAATATCTCAAACCTGAACCATCTCGCTCCTGATTGGCTGGATGATATCCCTCTGGTGATGAATTGCACACTACAGGAGAAACAACCTTAGCCACTTGGTAACACATCAACAACAATTTATCAATAAGCTGCTTGTACTTGGCAGTCACTGATACAGTAAGCTCACTACAAAAAAGAGAAATTCTATCTGAAGCAAAAGAGAAATACCTATAGAAGGCAGTGTATTGTAATCTCAATAACTGACATACAATGGACTTGAAATGAAATTTAGCGTCTATCCAATATCAGACCATTCAATAGGCAGGGCCATGAATAATAATAATAGTAATGTGAAGCGCTTAGAGGCCTTGTGAAGGCATGAAGCGCTATATAAGAACGACATAATTTTAATTTCATATTTATTGTCGTTGCTCATAGAATATAGAAACTTGTTTTATGGCTTTCACTTTGTGGGACCATTGTACAGCAGTAGTCCAAAGCCCATGGCTAAATCTTCTTCAGGGCCCTACTAGCATGAAAGAAAAAGCCCAGATCTCATTGGTGTGATCAATGTTTTAAGGAAGTATTTTGATGTTTATCTACACATTAGTGCCCCTAAAAAAGGTCCAGCTTGGCCAAGGTATGGCCCAAAAAGCCTAAAAAAATCACTGGCCCTTTAAGGTCTGGGGCCCAGGTTTTAGCCAGTGATACCTCATAGTTATTATGCCACTCCCTAGAAACAATATCCAAGGGGTGTGGCTTAGTAGATTGGTCCATTTTAAGTGTTACTTACTGAAAATTCACGTCTTCTATTAGCTCTCGTACACAATGCAGAACACCGTACATTGGTCTTGTCCCTGCCGCTTCTATCAAGCTTCTGTTCGCAACCTCCACTTGCTCTGATAAGGAATCAAGCATATCTCCCACAATGCCTTGTAGATTGTCATGGTAACTGGAGCTATGCTTAATAGCAGGTTCAAGCTGTCTGCTGAGGAACCGTAGCATGAACGAAGCAGTCTCGCAATTGTGCGGACGTGTGCTGCATCCAAGCTCAATGGCAACTTTATATAGGGTATTCAGCCGTCCAAGGTCCTGAGGAACGATTATGAATTCCAATTAAAAATTTTAATTTAAAACACCACAAAAAAACTATCAATAAATTATCATGATCTGGAAACAGTCTAATTTTTTTGTATTTTATTTAAATGAGTAATTTTAATAATCACACAAACACCAACAATAATACACTCTATCATTTTGTCATGGTGCTAAGTCTGTAAGTTTGAGATATCAAACTTATTACAACATCCAACAACCACACTAAGAAGAACAATATACAATAGTCTCTCCAGATATTTGCTCATTAGTAAAGACTACTTCTTCATTTGTTTTTACCAGTAAACGTACATTAATTACCTGCATTCCAAGCTGTTCTTGAGTAAGTGGAACCAAGAGGTTAAAGGCCATGACCTTATTACTTTCATAAGGGTCAGTAAAACATCTTAGAAGAAGCTTAACATTTTTGGGACTGAATATAGTACTGTCATCATACCAACTACATCCTGAAGAGAAATGCAAGTGAAGTTAATTAAAACAAAATCAGGCATTCTCAATTAGAAATAATGATGACAAGGATATAGGGTTGTAAGAATGAAATATAAAATGGCTAATGTTGTACAAAAATGTGTCCTGCGTATAAAAATATAATCAGGCTAATAATGAGAGAGTAGGTATGTGGGTCTATATGTCTGTTGATAAGTTTTGTCTTACTTGTGTCTGAATCTGTCTGTGTGTCTGTTAAGTAAATGCTACAAAGTAAATTACAGGTCTCCTCCAACTAAAAACACTTAAAATAAAAACACCTCCAATTAAAGACCACCTCTAAATGTCTTATCTTTATTATTCCAATTAGAGACAAAGGCTGCTAAGACCATGGAAACCTCATAACAAAGGCGGTCTTTAATTGGAGGGATCTTGCACATGATAAAGATCTATAAATAAAGAGAAACACATATACCTACCAGACTGAAATTTGCTCAAAATTGACAGAGCCGAGAGTGATGAAACCCTGGTTGAGTAACAGGAACCAGACTGTAATCCTGAAAACAGCAGCTCAACAAACCAATCCAGAAAGCCCTGCAATACAAAGCATTAACATTGATTTTGAAATTGCTCAATCAAGTTTACACTCTCTAACAAAAAGCAGTAGATGGGGGTACAGGTCCATAACAGAACTCATGGTGAAAGGGCTTTCTGAGAGCCAGATGGCTTGTGGCAAGTAGGTGCTTTGATGGGGTTCAAAAGAAGAACTTTTGTAGAGTTAAAGGGCAAAGCCACCTCGATTTGAAACATTCCAGCATGTAAATGGTAAATCCTATCATCTTTTGATGATTTTTGAATGCAAAACGAGAGGTGTTATGATCTATCAGAGAAGGGGGGGGGGAGGTTGAGAAGGGGGGGGGGGGGTTGGGGGAGGTTTCTAAAAAAGTAGGGGTTCAGCCAAATGAAAACAATGAAAGATGGAGAACTGTTCACATTTTTAAATAGGCACTCGGTTACTCAGAATAAATTAATAAATCAAATCTATGAAACCAATCTAGACTAGACTATCAAATTTTATTTGACAAAAGCATGTGACATGCCTAAATATGGTCATGACGACATCACACCATGACCATATATGGGCACCTCATGACTATGTACAACATTATCTGTCAAACAAAATTTGAGAATCTGGACAGAGCATAAGGACAACACAAGAATAAAGACATTGACATTTTATTTTGCTAATGCATTCACCTTATATTCATGTATCCTGTTAGCTGACTCTGATTGGCTGGGGCAGTTTGTTGTCTTAGAGTTCTTGTAATGGAGTCTGCCGCTGTCTTGTAGCCTTATTAGAAGCTGAAAAAAAAAAATGTCAGATAGAGCCCCAAAATTTAAATAAAACGACTTGCACAAGGACACAGGTCAGACACAAGTGACCCGTCTCTGACATGACCCACCAATCTTTCAATTGGAAGCCCAATGCCCTAGCTTCAGCCCTCATAGCGTTGCCACTGTGCAAGTCTAAAGCTTTGTCTACACTATTAAATTTCATCAAAAAAGCGTCAAGTAAAATATGATGGAACATAAGAGTTGAACACGTTCAACTTTTTTTGATACAATTTGATAATATGTGATTAGGCGTCATCACACCCATATATGGGCACATCACTTTTTTTTTACACATAAAATTTGATAGTGTAGACAAAGCTCCAAGCCCTGTACAGACTATCACATCTTACTTGACAAACATATGTCACATGCCTAAATATGGTCATGATGACATCACATCATGACCATATATAGGCACATCATGACTATATATGGGCATACAACAGTTTTTTGTCAAAGAAAACTTAATAATCTGGACAGAGCTTAACACAGTCCCACATTTTTTCTCAAAGTAAAATTATTCCCTCAGTCACAGGAGAAAAAACAAAAGCATCATAACTCATTACATCAAGAAAATTCATTCAAGGTGATGTTGGAAAGTTCAGGACTGTAGGACAGATACTTAAATGAATGGATTTATACACAAAATTGTTTTCATGGCACTTCCCTTGAAATTAATTGAATAGTCCATTGTAGTGGGCCATATTTTAAGCAATTCTCACCATGGTAAGCATTCACAAAACAGACCGTCAAGTTAAATGTTATTTATCAATACTACAAACATAAATTCAACAGTAATGTTCATCCTGGTATTACCTTTTTTATTAACATCATCAACTGCTGCCTAAAGGATGGTAAGTGGCTGCTCAGGTTGTACGGTAGAAAGAATTTAATCAGATCAAAATCGCAATCAGTCAAGACTTCTGCAGTTTTCTTTGTATCGCAAATCAAAGCAAACGTATCTAGACGAACCTAAACAAATTATATTATTTTCATTTCTTGTTAAATAAATGTTAAGATGATGTAGACAGGCTGCTATCAGAATATAATGTATACTATTAAAAATTGTATTATACTATTGAAGTGGAGATGTAGTTTGGTGGTAAAGATGCTTGCCTTCCAACCCCAGGGTCTTGGGTTCAAATCCTGTGACAGCCCAGGATTTTTTCTCACAACTAAAAAATCTCACTCCCTGAGCCTCATCATGAGTCTTTGCTGGTGATCACATTATTCCATTTATTTAAGAGGGGTGCAAAATATTAGCCAACTTTCTAAGATATGTTGGAAGGATCACCCTCTAAAAAAATGGTCTTAAAAATTGTTAATTTTGAATGTGGATAAACATTATGGAATAACAAATAACCTGATTGTTCTTGTGACACAAAGCTTGTCTGATCGTTGTTCTTCCAACAAGTCCATGCCACATCTTGTCACCTTGTTCATCATCTTCAAACTCAGTAATGGTAATGTTTGAGGCCCTAGCTGTCTTTAAACACGTCATGAGCATGCAGAGCCGCATACCCTTATAATCCAGGGACTTTGAGGCCTGAGCATCCAGGGGCCAGCTGCCCTGCATATCCAGGGGCTTTGAAGATTGAGCATTTATGTGTTTTGAGCCCTGAGTATCAAGAGGTCTCATGCCCTGAACATTTTCGGGTCTCTTTTTCTCAGCATTCAGAAGATCGGTCTCTCTTACATCCAGGGGCATCATGCCTTGGGTATCCAGGGGTGATATGATTTGGGGAACCATAGGCTGTGATAACTTAACATCCTGGGACTTTATGCCCTGGACATCCAGGTGTTCCCACTTACTACTATGCAGTGTTTCAATAATGTACTGGACACTTGAAGGATTACATTTCATAAGTTTTGGAAGTGTCACCTGAAAATAAAATAAAATCAATAAAGGTCTGTTTCTGTTTCATAAACTTAGAAAGAATCATACCTCACCAATTGGGAATTTATCATCCATAAGTTCATTTACTAGTGATTGCAGGCCATGATTATTTAGAGTGCACAACCTTTGGCCAGCCTGAAGGCTGTCTCTTATACACATCTAGATGTGTATAAGAGACAGGTTTTATAATGTTTCCAAAAATACTATTCACTTGATGCCTCATGCACTGTAAAAAAAAATATAAACACAACTGAAAAGCTAGAGATTAACAAAGTACTGTAGTAACAAGATCAGAGATAGGAATCACAAATAAGGAGTACATGCAGAAGGGGTCAGTAGGGGATCCAGGAATTTGAAATAGAAGGGGCCCAGGAAAAGACTTTCACAGACTTTTCTCAGGCCCAACATAGTTGAAGCTAAGGTAAGAAAATTTATGATTATGGCACTTTTGATGGCTGAAAATGAGACTCATAGAGTTCAATTTAAATTAATTTTCTTTCCCCAATTAAAAAAAAATCATTTTTTAGGAGCCCCAGGTTGACTGCCCCATCCCCTTGAATCTCCTGGGGGAGGGGAGAAGAGGACTTAGTACTGTATATAAAAAGTGAAAAAGAAAATCTTACGTCTATAGGATGATCCCAGTTTGTCCATGAATATTCTAACAATTTTTGTGGGATATCCTGGTAACCAGTGAATGCTTTCAATGTGTTGAGATCGTCAACTTCAGTTTCCACATACGATATTGCACAAGTTGTCCATAATGCAAATGCTCGGGCAACAGAGAGAGCAGAGAATGATTCCATTAATCTGAGGTTGATAAAAAATCATTTCACAAATCCGATATCCAAATGTATCTCATTTTTTCCTCCGCCAAGGAGGTTAAATGTATTCCCTTGTCTATCTGCTGTCTCTCTGCCAGCAAGATTACGTAAAAAATAAGGAATGGTTCATCATTAAATTTAGTGCAATGCTGCATAATATATAATTATATGAATAAATTTATTATTAGAGGTAAACTCACACACTCACTAGACACCAGATCTGTTGAAACATCATTTCCAAAAGAGAATCATCATCCACAAGATGCCTTGTCAAATGATCTTTCGGTACAGTTGCCAATACACCTTGGCAGACAAACAGCTTGGACAGTGGCGGAAGGTAGTGAAACTCAATAATAACTGTTGACTTTTGTGTCTCGATACAGTGCTCATCAGCAATTTCTTTTGCGGGCAGCTTTTGATCAGCCAGTAGTAGCATGATTTGAATAAGTATCATACCGGCTGCATTTTGACAATCGGCAAAAAACAGACCTGAAAAAAGAACTTATAACTCATAAAATAACATACATCTTGAGAAACGATATCAAAGGGTAGGTGGTGGACAAATTAAAAGTAGGTGGTTGATAATGTTGGTAAATTCTAAACAATATGAGTGTATTTTAAAGATGGGCATGTGGTTAATGATGGTGGGTGAACGGCCATGAAATTGGCTTTACATAGGGTGGAAAACTTCAGGGCTGGATGGCCCTGACTAACTCCCTCCAGTATAACTACATCCCTGCAAATTGAAAAATCTGTTACTGAGCTTCAAATCATAAGATTGGAGGTTCAAATTCACTTTTATCAACTCATTTTAATTTGGATGCCTCTATTTCCTTATGGACGTATCAAAATTTATCTATAATGCTGCCATATGCTAAACTATTGATGTTTTTTTTTTTAATTTTTAATTTTGGGCGTATACACAGCGTATTCATAACGAGTTACACATATACATAACATATTAGGAACTTATACAGATGCCATTATACAGTAGCCATAAGTTAGAAACACATTCAGTAAGTTGGTCGTCCGGAACACGTCAAATACACCTACGTACCTCATTATACATTGGAGGCAAGTTCCACATAAATTCACATAGGTTCGAAGCATGTTACTAATAGGTTAAAGAAATATGTTTTGGGTACACATTATCTCGACATATTTCAACTTATGAATTATGAGCAACGTGTGTCAACAATTACATAACTTACATACAACTTATGGCCTGCATATGTGGGACGTACATGCATATATGCTGGAATACGTTGAAAAAATTTTGTGCATGCACAAAATTGACGACGTAACCTTACTACGATGCATACCAATGTGCTTCAGCGCGCTCTTAACTTACCCATAACAAAACTCATCTAAAAATTTACCTAGGTCATGTTGTACTTCCCACTTCTTATAATGAAGCATAGTTATGTGAACCATTGTATTACTGTACCAACTTAAAATAGGCACAGTTTTGGTGTATGATGACAGCAAAATAATGAAATATATTAAATAGGTTAATTACCATCTTTTAAAATATGACAGGCATCATTTCTTATGTTTTGGATGTGGCTCCTCATCTTGCTGTCGATGTTGGTTACTTCATCATGTAACTCTGAATAACATTTACGGACTAAAACTCTTGCGGTCTTCACTATTGCTAGGCAATGATGCATCATTTCACTCTGTCCAACAGCAGTCTTTTCAGTATTATCTCTGGTAAGCATAAAAAAATGTGAACATAAATTTTGATTGACAGGATGCAAAATATAACTGAATGACAACCTACTCTCTAAAGCCGGGCACTCTCTGCCACCAACGGTCGTCGGTTGACACGATTCCATAAAGACTGCAATGACACAACACACGCAAAAGATCGTATTTAACGATGATAGGTTTAGACTGTCACTGGTAATCAGCAGACAGCATCGTATCATCTAGCGCTCACAGGGAGCGAAGTTGGATTCATTGAATGATTTTCATACAACTGTTGTACAACGCAGTGAGTGAGCACCATATACTCTCAGTAAAACCCACAACTCAAGTACACCCATCCCATAAGTATACCTTATTCTTGCAACAATGGAGTGAAGAACATCTTCCAGTATAGCAATGACTGAAAACAGAAAAAAAAAATTCACTGAAATCAAGAACACAATACCTTCTCTGGAATTCCATACATGATGGCGTTTGTAAAAAAAAAATGACAAAAAATGAATTGACCAACGTAAAAAAAAAATGACAAAAAATGAATTGACCAACAATTAATTGACTGCTTTTGGAAAAAGGCTAATGCATTTAACAAAGTATTAGGGTTTAACAGGTTATCCTGTTTACTGAATCCTGATTCCACATCTGGTTGTTGATCGTAGATGTGTACACATTAATTATATATAATAACAATGATTATTTATTCTTTTGATAGTGCAGGCACTTTGTGTACTGATTTTCACAGTTAAAAATCAATCCCAGAACATTGAAAATTAATATGCGTTGTATGGGGCAATGGCGCAATGCCTATGCGCTCTCGTTAGGCGGTCCGCAAGGCCCCGACTGCAAGGGGTCTAACCAATATGCTTCTCGATCTATCAAGATGGAGTGTCAATCAAACTTAAAAACTGACCAATCAGAACTGGGCCAGGAACACGTCTAACAAATAAATTTGACCACGTGTCAGGGATTTTGGACCACCTTGTCAGGGACCTTAGCCTCCTTGACAAGAAAGTTCTGACACCAGCACTGCAATTATAAAACCAGATGACATGATATTCATCTATTCGTTAAGTAAAGAGATAAATCTAAAAAAAAATTCTCATGGTATTGCTAAAATTTGATAACAATTTTTATATGATATGGAAATTCCCCAAAAACAAAAACTGCCTCGATCCAGCCTTCTGTACCTAACAATGGTCCTACGAAGCACACAGCGAGCTTGTGCATTAATATGAATGTCTGCGAGAATGCCAATCAAATCTTCCAAGTGCGATTCTTCAAATCCCGGACAAACCAGCTTTCTTAATCCAGAGCCAAACTGAAAATATAATTTAGATAACATATTTATGATCATTCACAATCAAATTTAGTGAATTACCCAAGTTTTATTTATTATTATTTAATAACTTTTAGGCGAGTATTTCAATGTCTTTTTAACTAAATGAGCCTGAGGTTCGTACAAGTGGTCTGGCGAGCAGAGTGGCTGCATAGTGAGGCAGGTGTACCACTATCTACAACCTTAACATTGAGCATTGGCTGGTTAAAACCGCTCTTCAGGGTTCTGTTGATAAAACCAAGTCTTGGATACGGATTCCAAATGGGATGTCTAGCATACACATCTGGCTCATGTACACTAGATTCCACTGTATCTTATAAAAGAGAAGTAAGGGGTTGCCCCAAGGCAACATGGTTGGGGCTGAGGTAATAAATTGTATGTCTATTACACTCTAGTCTAGATAGCTGGTTATGGCACTCTTAGGTTTAAATTTAAATGCAATTTTCTTTTTTCCAAATTGTTTTTTAATTCTCAAAAATTGAATCTGCCGATGTGATAGGGAATCACTGTACCTTCTTTAAGAGAGAGACTTGTTGCAACTCATTCTCCTCTTGCAAGAACTCATTGAAAGACTGCCAGTTGATGCATGACGATGGAGAATCTTCAATCATAACTAGAAAAAACCAAAGAAGTATGATTACATTCCAGCCTGGGCATTGCAAAATAATAATAAATTAATGAAAAATAAATGGCAAAGTAAGTTACTTAAGACCTTAGCAACCAATTTATGGTGTACTGTAGTCTTAGCCATTGATACAATACAGTACATTCCTATTCTACGCTTTCCGTAAAGTTCAGTGGATGTAATATTTCTATTCAGCAACCCCCTTTTCAAAATCCTGGATACGCCACTGCATTAACCACGTTCTTTGCCATTTAACATCCAGGTATTTAGGACGGATGAAGATCTGTTTGCCCCTGTAACATTCCATTTTGGGCTGTTTCGCTCACTATTTAAGAAAATCATTTTACTTAGTGAACCTTGTACTTTGAGAAAATCATTTTGCTTAGTGAAACATATACTTTGAGATAATCATTTTGTTTAGTAAAACCTATACTTTCATAGATATATATTTTTAAAAATTTCTGCAATCTTGATTCATAAATAAATAAAAACTCTCCCCTAGATGCAAAAAATATAACTCCACTAAATAATACACATACATTCACTAGTTTTAGCATAATCCAGCTAACATACCAATGGCAGTGAATATGTAACATCCTTGATGGATGTAATTAATTGACTGCTTTTGGAAAAAGGCTAATGCATTTAACGAAGTATTAGGGTTTAACAGGTTATCCTGTTTACTGAATCCTGATTCCACATCTGGTTGTTGATCGTAGATGTGTACACATTAATTATATATAATAACAATGATTATTTATTCTTTTGATAGTGCAGGCACTTTGTGTACTGATTTTCACAGTTAAAAATCAATCCCAGAACATTGAAAATTAATATGCGTTGTATGGGGCAATGGCGCAATGCCTATGCGCTCTCGTTAGGCGGTCCGCAAGGCCCCGACTGCAAGGGGTCTAACCAATATGCTCCTCGATCTATCACCCCAACAAAAATGGGTTTTGTTGATACATAACAGCATAATGAGTTTCTGACATCGACTGTAGGACATATAATGTATCATATTATATCCAGTGTGAAAGATTAAAGGGTATCCTGTCCACCTGGGGCCCACTAAATTTGTTTACCTTGCTTTAAGTTTAATTACTTTTACTTTACTATACCTTGTAACTGGACCATTTTGAAAAGGAGTACTACTGTATGCTACTGAAAATGCAATCCAGTAAAACAAAACAATAAATAAATTTCTACGGTTCAGCGCACATACATTGGCTATTACCAGTTTAGCGACTGAGCTAATCTGCTCTCATCAAAGTAACATGAATTTTCATTTTGGACTAATTACAATAATTACAATATTTTGATGCGATAAATTTAATAGGAAAGCTTCAGCAATATACCATGTCCCCCTCCACAATTAGTCGCATTACAAACAACAGATACAGATTGTCTTTATCTGCTCCCTGAAATCGCTATACGCAGCCAACACTAGCACATTCTCACCAGAGGGCATTCCGGAAACAAAGCGTCAAGAAAATCATCTTTTAAATTTCTTTAAACACTTATTAACACATTTATTAACAATACAAAATAAGGCTTACTTAGCATTAAACTGATATTTCTTATATTAAACATGTATTCTTCTCCATGGCAATATTTCTTTCAAATTTAATAACATGAGATCTAAGCAACTTTAAAAAGAATAGGAAATCTACTCCCAACTGAAGTTAATTTTTGTTTCATTTGAAAAGTTTGTTCAAAATTTTTAGATGCACAATACAATTAAGGTTTACAATTAAATCATGATGAGTTTGGCTGCATGAACATTTTGAACGGATTGTGGTTAAAAATAAATTTGGATAGGCCTACGTAGTTTTATACATTTAAAAGTCATAAGAGTTGTTCATTCCACCTTTAACATTAAGACTTCTGCAGTCAAGGGAACTTAAGATAAAGTCAAAGTAAAATCCTCCAAGGTAGGCCCTAACCTTTTCATATGGACTTGAAGAATAGTGTCTTGAATACTAGATTAGACACAGAAACAATAGTCAAAAAAGAACGATTACTAGGCATTAGCTAACATTTGAGACTGGGGTTTCCATGGTCTTTAGATGAGACTTTTCTTAGGGCCCGATCGGCTAGAAATGGACCCGATTGCAGGGACGTATCCAGGGGGGGAAGCCGTGGGAGCCGCGGCTCCCCCCCTTTGTACACAGTGTTAAAATGTTAAAGCTTATTCTTGAGCCAATACAAATTCTTTCCTGGGATCACTCAAAATTAATACTCTAAACATGTAAATATGCATCAGTACACGTTATACATAGGCCTAATAGAACACATAGGCCTAAGCGTGATATAAAAAAATCTTAAATTCATAAATCTCAGGCCAGGTCTTTTAAGATAGAAATGCGATACTGTGGTTCAATTTCGTTTTTACCCTTTTGCAAGTTTCTTTAAATGTTTGTTTAATAATACTACTACTAATTGTAATAATAATAATAATAATAATAATAATAACAATGATGATGAGGATGATAGTAATAATTGATATTAATATTAATAACAATAAAAAGTGAAGAAAATTGTGCTAAATGCGTTAAAAAGTTGTGATTTGTTGATCATAATATAGTATATATAGTTAAAGCTTAGTAAGCTATAATTAGGCCGTCCTGGATATTAAGTAGATTCCTGATAAAAGATCATGAGAAATTTGTTGGCGTTTCATTTTGACTATAATGGTAATGTGATGATGATGAATTTTACTATATAAAAGTGTCATTTCCGGCCATCTTGAAAGGTAATATTTCCTCACCTCAGCCCCAGCCATGGTGGGGCTGAGGTGGTCGTGAAATCACGTTTTTGAAGTAGGCCTATATAA